AAAATGATCATTACACTCTCCTATTCAGAAACCCTTAGCCAACCCAGTCTGAGCAACAAGCTAAAAACCAAGCATTAAAGGGAACTAGGCCTTAAAGGGAACTCCAGAGAAGCCAGGAAAAACACAGTGAGAAAACCAAGAAAGAGGCTACAAGTCCCTGGCCCTGTTCCAAGGTGGAAATGGCTCTGCTAGGGGGAAGGAATGAGAAAGCTAACCTCTATTTTCCTTTTTTTTACAAAAAAAAAACTTTCTCTCCCCTCCTCATGATCTTTTCCCCCTTTCCTCTGGAGACAAAACCAAAACAATATGTACATAGATAAACACCTGAAAACAGTTCTTTCTTTCCTCCACCAGTAATAAATAGGTACTCACCAATTCCAGAAGGAAATTTTGAAAAATTCCTGGAACTTTCTTTTGTGCAGTCAGTTTAATTCAGCAGTACTTCTGTTATTCTTCTCATATGAGGATGGAAAAAATAGTATACATAGAATAAATTAATAACTTTCTTGTCTAACAAGTCTAGTTGTTGTAAAACAAGACCCCTATGACAGCATATCACAAATAAGATCATCAAAAAAAAAAATCTTCCACTCTCTCAAAACAATGCATTTGTATTCTGAAACACAGTTGGCCCTCTGTATCCAAGGACTTCGAGAACTCGAGCCTCTGTAGATTTTGGTATCCAAAGAGGTTGGGGGTCCTGAAAACAATCTCCTACAGACACCAAGGGACCACTGTCCATTCTTTTAATTATCCACAATATGGAACTAAAGAACATTTTTGTTATTCTCATTTTGAAGACATTTATACATTTTCTGTTCATAATTACATTTTCAAATAAATTTTATGTCAAAAGTAATATTAAATCTTGCTAAGCCTTATAAATAGATATTACTGTCTAGCATCCATCACTGAACATTTTTTAAATTAAAAAAAAATGAACCCATCCTTCTAATGACCCAAGAATGTAATCTAATACTGTTATTAACCTAAAGCTAAAATTGAACATCAAAACATTTCTCTACATGAAAACTAAACTCTACTGTTATATCATTTAATTGTACCTCTAGATTCACTTTGAGTGCAGAGCAGCTATAATTCTGAATATTTTTTTCTTGCAAAGTATCCTGATGAGTATAATGTGATCATCATTTACGTGATCCAAGATTAGGATGCTAGTCAAAAGGAATTAGATCAAAATACTGGCCACTGAGTCCTTCAGTATGTCTTCTCTTTATAATAATAACCCTACTTTATTTGTAGAGCCTATAAGGATTTTGATAATCTCTACAGATTAAACACTGAGTGAAATTCATTAAATGATTCAACAAATATTTATCGAGCTCTGATTATGTGCCAGGCATTATCCTAGAGCTTGAAAAGCAGAAATGAACAAAGAGCGTCAGTTCCCTGCTTCCATGATCTTCATATTGCAGTGGTTGGCAGACAGACCAAAAACAGGTAAAAAAAAAAAAAAGTAAATGAACAGGATCAGTTCAGGTGGTAAAAAGTGTTGTGAAGAAAATCCAAAGCATGATGCACAGGGGAAAACTCTATAAGGGATGATTAGAGAAGGCATCTCTCAGGAGATGATGCACTCTGAAACTTTGGGTCCAATCGTTCCAGTTGGAAGAAATATCTAATGACACTGGATCATTTCTTTGGGTGATATACCATTATTTTTGTACCTCCCAAACCTTAAGACACACTGTGAACCGTGATCAAATATATTTTTGTCCATTGGTTTACACTGTGGTCTTCTGGATTTGATCCTAGAACAGATATGATGATCATGTGCAAAGGGACCAATTTGTTGGTCCATCTTCACCTTAGCAACCTTAGTAACCTGAGTAATGAAGAATCCCTTGGGAATATTGGATATCCAGTTTGTCTGGTTCTGAATTCATCCCTCATTCTCCAGGATTTTGAATTAATTTGGAAAAAACTGGTGGTGTTGGATGTTTATGAAATGTAAAGGCTGAGATCTTTAAAGTTCTTTGATATTCTACTAAAAGCATGATTATTTTCTATCAGTCAGCCTCTTAAATTAACATTATTTTGAAGTCTAGCCAGTTCAAAGACTGCAAAATCAACTATGATGCTTGGTGTTTACTGCATCACCTTTCCACATACCTGTCCACAAAGTAGCTTAAGACACACAGTAGCTTCTCACAAATGACCACAGTATCACAAAGTAGTGGTTCTGCCCATAAAGTAGCTGGTTTAACGAAGATGCCATAAGAGACTCTCTCATCCCTTCAAAGAGTTCAGTAAACCCGTCTAGAGCTGTGAGGTCGAGGCCTCCCCCAATTTCTAAAAAATTTCTAACACTTATTCTGACGCTTTTCTCTGCCTCCATGCTTAGGTCTACACAAGTTATCTCTTACTTTACTCGATTGATTTAGACATAAGCCCATCCCTTACACAAGCTTCTATCAAAAAAACAAAACGAACAAACAAAAACTCGTACCAAATGTTTAATCAGTCCAGTAATTCCAGTGGAGATGTGTGCGGGAGGGAGGAGAGGAAGAGTCACGTGGAGCAGATGCAAGCTGCCTTCCGCCCTCTCAGTGGCTGCAACCCCTCCTCCTGTCTCTCCTGACGGCTGTGCTGGGAAGTTTCTGCCAAATTGTTCCCTTTGTCTCAGAAACAATCTGCTCACACCCTAGCCCCTCCGGGGCTCTCTTCTACTCCCCCAGCTCTCATCAAGGTATTTTTCAAAGTAAATACATTTCCCTTTCTGGGAGGAATTCTGGTGCCAACTATTAATAAAATAACATTCCTCTGCCTTGTTACAAGTGATGGTCCAATTTTCATATTGGGACCGCTGGCAATGTTGGAATGGATAGCAGGAGATTCCTCGTATTTTAGAGTTTGGTAAGCTTGACTTTTACCAAAAATAGTTTAAAAACAAAGTGGAGCCACAGGGAGAGGTGCTTAGAAGGGAGGAACTAACAAGTGGTTTTCTACATTTGCTCAAAGGGGAGGCTGTTGATTTGTGAGATTTGTCACCACTGAGTTCCAAAGTGAAGTTACATGAAAGGGCAGACTTTTTCACTTGCTATAGAATTGTATTTTGCTGCAACTGTAACCATGCATAATAAGCTTTTGATACATTTCTTTTAAGTGTAATCATAGGGTTTTACATTTTCTGATCCTCCCCTCTTAATTGAGGGATTGCCACACAAAAGATGATATCATGAATTCCTTAGTTTCATTAGAAACAGCTTCTATTCAGTCCACTTAGGTTAGGTTGTGAGAATCACTTTTCTAAAAAATATATTTATCTGAAAGCCACAGAAAATTTGTAAATATAGGATAGCTTTCGGAAACAGTAGGAGCTAGTATCTTCAGGATGCTTTATTTATATGATACAATGAAATCTGATTCCTTTCAAATTGACAAGTAAATGTAAGTAATGGAAAAACTCATTTTTTATGGAAGCATTTCATGCGGATCTTAGTTTTCACATCATTACATGTTTCTTGCCTCAGTTGATAATGAGCATGTAAACTGCTTCATGCGACTGAAAGAAGTATAATTTTCACTTAGTCTGGGGCTGTGATTATTCTTCAAATATTTATGTATACTTATTATAAACAAACACCCATAAAATTAACTTATCTAGGCTCTATATCCATAGTCAAACCTCCCTCTCTTCTTTCTTGGCCCCAGCTTAGTAATTTCCTTTGACTCACTTTAATCACATTTTACCATCACATTGCTTCTTAATAAGACAGTCAATTCTTGCTATCTCTCTGCAGTGAAATGCTATTCATGAGGCTTGATCTGCACAACCTAAATGATTTCTGCTGTCAGCACAGGGTTGTTTGTCCAAGATGGACAGTGACAGACTGTACCATTTCTATAGCAGCCCTCCTTTGCAAATGCCCAATTTTCCAAGCCTTTCAAAGGTACTAGTAATAAGACCAGTGACTCTCCTAATCAGTTTTCCCTCTGCCTCTATTTGTCCATCTCATGGAAAAGCAGGTGACAAGAATGTAGCCCAGAAGAAACAGAAACGACTGTTTTCTCAGCAAAACTGTTTAGAACTTCAGTTGTCTGACTTCCACAACTGTGAATCTCTTCATGCATCCAGGGCTGCTACCAGTTCCATAAAAATCAGGCTCCCAGGGAAGACCACAGAACAACAGGATCCAATCTACCTAAATGCATGTTCAAAAAATAAAATGACACTTACATGTGTAGGAAAAGCTTTTGGGAAATATATTATGAAGTGATGTTTAGGACAGTGGAGCATTCAAACACTTATCCTGACACCTGCAAGGAGAACATGCAGATTCTAACCAGCACATTTTCAAGAAGCTGGAGGGCCAATTGCAACACACTGTCTTGTTAAAATGTGGATTCCATTCCATTAGATAGACAATTGTTAAATACCTACCACGTATAGGTATGGTGACGGTGACAAAATGAGTAAAATAGTTCCTTCCCTTAAGAAAGGGATATCCTTACAGCAAACGGAGAGGGTGTTAGTAGTAAGAATAATCTTGAATATTTACTGAGTGTTTACCATGTGCCAGGTGCCCCACATGCATTATCTCATGTAATTGTCATGACAACTATTTAAAAGATGATTAAAGAAGATAATTTAGGTGACGCAAACAAACGTCATTTAACACTTGATAAAGTGGACAGTCTCCATTCCAAGAACTGCAAAGTGGGGCAGAAGGCAGGAAGCTTTTACAGGAAAAAGAATACAGAACAAGGAAAAGCAAACAGAAAATATCTGATTGGCTGGGGCCACAGAGTCACCCTTGTTTGGAGTGAGAAGGCCCAGAGTTGGCTTGGCGTTTGGGGGTTGGCTGACTAGATAGCAAGCACTTCTGGTCCAGTGGAACATTCATGGGAACACAAATGTAAGCTCAGTTTCTGTTTGCTGACATGGCACCCCATGCAGGAGCAGCTTCATCTTGGGCCTAGGAATTTATTTCAACACAACCCAGAGATATAAGGGCTGTTATTATCTCTGTTTGCAGATGAGAAGACTGAGACCAAGAGGCTAAATGCTGCACCAAGGCCAGGAGGAAGTGCTGAAGCCTTGATTCAGATTGTGAGTTTGCTGCCAGCGTTTCCATCCCTAGTCCTACTCTACAGCACCCATTACCACGATGCAGAAACAGGAATGGTGGGGACCTGCCCAGGGTTGGGGAGCCCATGAATTTAGAGAGCTAGGAGAAAAATTTTGAAAAGCTTGGAATGCTTCCTCTCTCTCTCTCTCTCTCTCACATACACACATACACATATGTGCAGAATGTCCATTCACTTGAACTGAGAAAACTAAAAGCATTATTCAAAGAAAAGAAAAACAAAAAACAAAAAGTGAAGGGAAAAAATTTCCCTATGCCCATTCTCACCTTTAAATATCACTTACTTGTTTATTTAAGTGATTTAAGGTTTGAGGGGCTGAATTACCCTGATCGTTGCTTAGATTTGCCACTTGACACATGTAATCAAAGCTGCCCTCCAGACTCTCTCTCTTAGACAATTTTTATAGGAAAAGTGAGCTCCGTGGAGTAGAAATGTCATTAATCATGCTCATTTTATCCCATATGCTAAAATTGTCAAGAGTTGATTTCCAACCATGGTCCCCTATTTTATGGGCAAAATTTCCAGCATCTTTAGTGGGGACAAGTTTCACACATCAGGTCTGAAGCTGGATTTATCGGAAGCCTTTACTGAATGTAATACCCAAATAAATTATGGTTTTTCAAAGTTGATTTAAATCCTGATTAGGTAAACCTTGGTAACACAGAAGAATATTAGTTCTCATTCAATGGATTTAATTTCCAGATTTGTTACTGAAGTCATTTATGGTTTTTAGGTTGACTCAGATGGAGACACACAGATAACGAGTTAATGCAAACAATAATAACCCCACAGGATTAAAAAAAAGAAAGAGAAGAAATTAGCCCTAGCAACAGAAAGTAATATAAGTAAAATGTGAGCTGCAATCTCCATGCACCCCAGCCTCAACGATTTCCGCTTTCTGAGCTTTCTGAACATACGCACATTTCCGCTAAAAACAAAGCTGAAACCAGTGCTACATTTTAACAACTTCCTACCTTCCTCTTTCCTTCTCCTGCTCCCTCCACCAGAGAGCAACCCCAGTGGGCGGTCCTAGGTCTCTGCAGTGTTTGTAGATTTGTGGTTCTGATGCTGTTTCTAGAAAAGCTGAGGAAGAGGCTAACAGATGTTCTCTGGTGGACCCTGCCTTTCCTCTTACAGGGCCACCTCCAAAAATGACGAGGAGCAGACCCCATTAGGCTCTGTGGGAGCCAAGACTGCACTGTCACACAGCTTCCTATGAGCATATAGGTCTGGACTCACACTTCCTATATGGCCCTGAGTAGTCTTGAAAACCCCCTCTGCCTCAGTTGCCTTATAAATAAAACCTAGACAACACTTACCCCATCAGGACTTTCACATGGATTACATAAATTGTGTTTGAAAGCAAAGTATCAGAGACACAGCAGCACTCCCCTGCCTCAGTTTGTGTATCTTTCTCCCCCATCCCCACTTCCAAAGTACTCCCAGCTCCCTGCAATTGAGGACAATATCAAGCATCTTTCCTCTCTAGATCATACTATGTCTTCTGGGTTGTTCCTGCTCTGTCGTTCCCTTCTGTCAAAATGACATATCCTCACACTCCCAGAGAATCTCATCCCACCATGGGGGTTACCTCCTTTTCTTTTCTGCATTTTATCTTTGATAGGAACAGTCTATATGTGCTTAACCTGCATGATCTGAGTGTTTGTATCCATAACCCCAAATTCATATGTTGAAACCTAATCCCCAATGCAATTGTATTTGGAAGGTGATTAGGTCAGGAGGGTGGGGACCTCAGGAATGGGATTAGTACTTTCAAGAAAGAGACCCCAAAAAGCTCCCTCACACCTCTGCTATGTGAAGACACAGCAAGAAAATGGCCATTTATGAACCAGGAAGCAAGCTCTCACCAGAAAGATATGAGGCACCCTGTCTTGGAATTCTCAGCCTCCAGAACTGTGAGAAGTTGGGTTCTTTATATAAGGCACTCAGTTGGTGGTATTTTTGTTACATCAGCCTGAGTGGACTAAGACAGCCCCTGACAATTTACAAAGCACCATCATAGCCAAGCCCTCATTTGATCCGTCTCCTGTTCATGTAAGATAAGCAGGATGGGTGTTATTTTTCTCCTCCTTTTATATAAAGAAGTCAAGGGTCCAAGCAATGAAGGGATTTGCTCAAGGTCATATCAAGAGAAAAAGAAGCAGAATTAAGGTTTAATGCCTGGTCTTTTGCTTGAGATAGATCATGGATTCATTCAACAACTATTTGTCGTGATGTCAGCTTTGCACTAAGCTCCATTCCTGAGCTGAAGCTGCATCAGAGCAAAGTGATGTCTCTGCCTTCTTGGAGCTTCCATTTAAATTACAGTAGAGTTACCAAAACTAAGTTAATTCTTACATAATGACAACTAAGTGACTTGCAATACCAAGAGTGGCATAAGTGCTATAAAAAAAAATTAAGCAGGGTAAAAGGATAAATAGAAAGTGACTGGATAGGGGTGAAAAACAAGACTTTTTTAGGTGGATAGTCACGGAAGACATCTCTTGAGCAGAGACCTAAATAAAGTGAGGGAGTTAGTTATGTGAATATCCATAGAAACAGCATTCCAGGCAGAGGGAACAGTGAGGACAAAGGCCCTGAGGTGGGTGTGTGCTTGGCGGGTTTAAGGAACAGCGTGTTCATCAAACACGAACTTTACTGGTGGTTATTAGGTGTTACTTGAGAAGAGCATTCTGTGGTCCAGTAACTTTCGGAACCTTCGGGTAAAGCAGGACTTCCAAGAGCCTCTAGCGGAGGAATGCGCTCTGTAAACCTTGAGCGAGTGGCCGCGCGAAGCGTTGCACAATGTTGTTCAACCATGGAAACCTTCCCTCAAGGAGCATCTCAGGGGATTATTGTTCCACAGAACACTCTGGAAAATGCTGCACCACACCCTGCTTTTACTGGAAAGAGGAAGTCGGGCTAGGAACTAGAACTTAAGGCACTGTGTGAAGCCTTCAGAGTTCACCCCCAGAGGCCCAGAGATCGCATCAGGCAGTGGCCAGCTCCATTTATCCACAGGGATGACTGTTCAGCCGATCCTGTTTTATGTCAGCTATCTGAAATTACTCTTGGCCCCTATTTCCTGCCCGGACCTCTGGTGTTTTCCATGATTTAACCCTGGTTATCAGATTCCAAGCCCCGCCGACCTTCCTCGGGGCTCCCATTTGGGGAAATGGCAACAAGGCAGAACAGGAACGTATGGAAATCTGCTTAGATGGTGCTTCCCCTCCAGTCGGGGATGGAAGGCAGGGCAGGGGGATTTCCAGTGTCCGGCATGAAGTGTGCATTGGGTGGCCTCCCCCACAGCCCAGCCGAGGGCGGGAATTGCTCAGGGTGTGTCACGTGCTCTGAGATCTGCCTGCCTTGCAGGCATCCAGAAGCCCTCAGCTACACACAGGTGGGAGAGGCTGCAGAAGGAGGACTCCCGTTTGGCAGGAAAGCTGCCAGCTGTGAAGATTGCTGATCCCTGCCTAGCTTGGGAAGTATTCCCAAGCCCTCTGCAAGCTACGAAGCCAGGAAATGAATGGGAAGCAGCTGGAGTGGGCCCAGCCCTGGCCTGAGTAGACCGCCCAAGAGAGCAAGCGAAGGCCAGACAGTGGCCCAACCCAGGGAGCCCAGCAGAGTTCAACTGGGTCTGCTGCACCAGAGGAGGCTGTGAGAGGGCAGTGGCTGGTCCCTCGGATATCACCCTGCAAGCTTGGACCAAGTCACCTCAGAAGAGTGCCAGCAGGAGTCATCTGGCGGCTTTAAAAAAATAAATAAATTGTACGTTAATTCCAGATGTTGCTTACTCCTAAAATACATAAAATGTAAGCAGTCAAGTGTAAATACCAGAAGAATTCTTTCTTTGAGGATTTTCAAAGGAAATCTTGCAGAAGATCTGGCTAAAACTTGACCACAGATTAACAAATACATCCTACATAAAATAAGAATTTTTTTCATTATGATGCCTTGTTATGGGAGTTTAAAAGTTGACTCAGGACAATGATCTAAGCACAACTGAGAAATTCTATTGAAAACAGCAAATGACAGATGCCTTGGGTCAGAATTTGTGGGCATTTTCTCTTCATGTGACATAATAGAGAAAATTAAAGATAAAATGACTATTATAGCTTTTACTAAGTGTTGAGACCTTGCTGGCCACCAGGCATTTCACACACAGAATTTTTAATATTTATAATAAGCTAGCATTACTATTCTTGTTTCAGTAATGAAGAACTGAAGTTCAGAAAGTTTAAGTAACATGTCCAATGTCACAAGGTTAATTAAGCAGTGGATCTGGGAAGCAGACCCAGATCTCTCTGAAGAGTCACTCTTTCTCCTGTCACCCACTGCCTCTGTGTTCACATAGGTAGCACCATAGGGTAGTTAGACCTGAGGACATGAAGTCCAAGAGATGAGTAAATTCCTTTCCAGCACATGCATCCACCCACCAGCAATTTATAAAATGCATCATTTTGCTATCCTCTTTGTCAGATGTTGGGAAGATCAATAATCATTTGTATGGTGCTTTGAGAGAATTAGAAGAAAAATGCTAGATTAAAAATATATATATGCCACAAGATAAGAGCAGACGTAAACTGGACCGGTTTGACTGCTCTGTCACCCACATGTCAGTAGCTTTGGCCCCTGACATGAAGCCGCGGGCTTAGATCTCCCTACAAGATATTAAAGGCAGTCCCAGTTGTAGACACCACCTTGCCAGCATCTGGGAAACTTGGTGTTCCTCTCATTCTTTCCTGCTCCTCAAACTGCACTTTAATTCTCCGTACCATTTCAGAAGCCAGTTAAAAAAATTGCAAACACATAACTGTACAATTGGACCCTGCAGGGTCTATGCGAAAACCTCAGGGACTACACACACTTGATCACTTAGGTGTTCACTGTTTTCTGTCGGCCCGACATATGTTTCCAGAGCTAATGTCACTCACATTCTTAGCTAAAGATGAGCTAAGTCCT